CATACTCCAAATAAAAATTTAGGAGCAAAAAGCAAACTAACAAATGACAGTGTGACGCTGCAAACCACCCACAGAGACTTTCAAAATTATCAACTACCACTGCTGGCTGTTTCTGTGCTCTTTCTCAAATCTAAACTACGCTGAGAATGACAGTAGATAGTGCAATCGTTTTACAGAGTTACAGCCCACAAAACCACACTTTCTTAAAATCCTTTAAGCAATCTTGGTTACATTACATTATAGACCATAGGAAAGAACTATTGGTATGACACACCCTCACCTTCATCCCTTTTTCTTGGAATATCTGACATCCCCTCGTTTATTTTTCTTCCTTCGTTACCACGACTTTGGCTGACAACAGCGGTCCACACGGTGAACCAGGCAGGGTTCCAGACAACGTACCCAGTCCTTCCAACCTAATCTCCTTTGCTGCTGAGAACAGCAAGCAGCTGGGTAGGGCTGGGCAACAGCAGGGTGGCCTCAGGGGCAGCCCTACGCCACAGGTAGTCACAGGGACACCCAAAGCTAACGGCGACGACCAGACCTCCCTGTCTGGAACACAGTGAGCTCTTCCACATGAAGTCTGTTTGTGAAGGAACATTTGGGGAATACAGTTAGGGTGTCGTAGTCATAGCAACTGTTACAACCCTCTAGTACTAGCTGCTAAGTGTCCTAGTGGATAGAAATTTCAGCAGATTAGTTTCTGGGACTTGACTCACCTATAAAAGGACAGGGTTACCAGGGAAAAGGAAGAGGAATGAGGAATGAGGAAAAGTCATTCATCCATATAGAAGAATTTAGCTTTACTAGATCTGTGGCTTACAGTGTTTTTTGTTTATTGGCATCCAAAGTAAGGAACATATTTTAAGCAGTAACTTTGTACGTGTGTGTGCTTAAAGTCTAATATATAAATCAAGCAAGTTTCAGACACTATTTACTCTCATTAAATACAGCGCATTGTGCTATATGTATTTTTTTTTGTATTCCATTTAATCTGTGTTTAAAGTACTGGTCCGGACCCATAGGTTACACCCTGAAGAGTTGGAACACTGTTCCAGCGTGGACCACAGACTGTGCACTCCAATCAGACCACATGTGTGCCCAACTCATTCTTGTTTATTAAATGTGCAGCCTCAGCCTAATGACGTAACCTTTCCCTGCCCTGAATCAATTGTAATCTTCATGTTACTTCAAGAGTCATGGTGAGAATTAAATGAGAAATCATTTCATCATTCGTCTGATACTTTAGAACCGAGCCCAGCTCATGGCAGGGGTTCAGTGCCTATTGGCTGTTTCTCCAAGACTATCTCAGGGAAACCTAATGGAGCAAAATTGCATAACACCAGGTGGTCCTCATGGCCAGACAGCAACTCTCTGCATGGAAGGAAAATCCGTCCCTCTCCTCCTCCTTCCATCTGCTCCCATTACCCCAAGGTTCCACGCCTTCAGACATGCCAGGCTTGCTACACTGCTGTTCTCCTGGAATATCCCCCCCACCGCCTTGAATGCTGTTCCTTCTACTACTCATATGAAGGAGTCCTCTAATCAAGCCCACCTTTATGAGTATTTACAGCAAGCTTAAGACAGCCATTCCCCAGAAAGATGTTTGTGCGGATGGCCCTTTGCCGTCTTCTGGGAATCTGGCTGTTAAATGGTTTCTACACAGATGTTAAGCTTTCTCTAAATGCTAAGAGGGCCTCGCTGTGCCTGAAGAGTTCACAGAACGTGGCTCAGGCAGGATGCCTGCTCTCCTCCCAGAAGTCTAGGATCTTGGCACGTACTGGGCTGAGGGCCTACTGAACCAGCCATGTAAAAATCTCTGACAGCCCAATCCGTGAACTTTCCTGGTAGAAAATACTTTGCATGTGTTGCTGTAATTGCTGGGACAATTACACACCCCCTGCACGACATCGCTGGAAAAGAACTCTTGACCTTCCAGTTTCCTAATTTTAATCCAAAACCTTCAATCTCCAAAGATTGAAGAATCTTTGGAGAATGCTATTTTTTAAAGCAGAAAAATAAATAAGCTCAGAAAGAGCCAAGGTTAATGATACGCCCATCAAAACTGGGAAACTGCATGAAGGAGCCTGTCCTGGGCCCCCAGATATTCTGCCTTTATTTCTTTAGAGAGAACACTCTTTGTCAAATCAGAGGGCAGCAGTAACCCCCGAGCAGCCTGTGGCTCTGGACAGACACCACATTTCCCTGATGCTGAGGGAGGACAAAGACCAAGTCGAGGGTATTGCGCTGTTTCTGTACCTCTTACATTGACAGGTACAGTCTACACAGCCGGGCTGGGATTGAATTCATGGTGCATCCTGAATCCTGTCCGTGGAGAAGCCTGGGCTGGCCACCTTCCCTCCAGTTTTCCCCTCCTTAGCCAACTCCAGATCATGTCCCAGGAAGTCTTTGCCTCCATTCCCCTTTTCAGACCCTCCTCATCCTGCAGTTCTGCACCACATAGCAAAGCCCGCAAATCTCCTCAGGTTTCCAGGCACACCCACATGTTGACACAGTTGCTACAGAGCTAGACCATCAGAGCCACGTCAGCAGGAGCAAGTCTAGCCGCTTTGGCACAGATTATATCCTCTGCTTTCCTCTCCTCTCCTCTCCTCTCCTCTCCTCTCCTCTCCTCTTCTCTTCTCTTCTCTTCTCTTCT